TACTCTGCAGTGGTTCTCCAGGGTGAGAGTACTCTGTGGTGGTTCTCCAGGGTGAGAGTACTCTGTGGTGGTTCTCCAGGGTGAGAGTACTCTGCGGTGGTTCTCCAGGGTGAGAGTACTCTGTGGTGGTTCTCCAGGGTGAGAGTACTCTGTGGTGGTTCTCCAGGGTGAGAGTACTCTGTGGTGGTTCTCCAGGGTGAGAGTACTCTGCAGTGGTTCTCCAGGGTGAGAGTACTCTGTGGTGGTTCTCCAGGGTGAGAGTACTCTGTGGTGGTTCTCCAGGGTGAGAGTATTCTCCTGTACTCTGTGATGGTTCTCCTGAGAGTACTCTGGTGGTTCTCCAGGGTGAGAGTACTCTGCGGTGGTTCTCCAGGGTGAGAGTACTCTGCGGTGGTTCTCCAGGGTGAGAGTACTATGTGGTGGTTCTCCAGGGTGAGAGTGTGGTTCTCCAGGGTGAGAGTACTCTGTGGTGGTTCTCCAGGGTGAGAGTACTCTGTGGTGGTTCTCCAGGGTGAGAGTACTCTGTGGTGGTTCTCCAGGGTGAGAGTACTCTGCAGTGGTTCTCCAGGGTGAGAGTACTCTGTGGTGGTTCTCCAGGGTGAGAGTACTCTGCAGTGGTTCTCCAGGGTGAGAGTACTCTGTGGTGGTTCTCCAGGGTGAGAGTACTCTGCAGTGGTTCTCCAGGGTGAGAGTACTCTGTGGTGGTTCTCCAGGGTGAGAGTACTCTGCAGTGGTTCTCCAGGGTGAGAGTACTCTGTGGTGGTTCTCCAGGGTGAGAGTACTCTGCAGTGGTTCTCCAGGGTGAGAGTACTCTGTACTCTGTGGTGGTTCTCCAGGGTGAGAGTACTCTGCAGTGGTTCTCCAGGGTGAGAGTACTCTGTGGTGGTTCTCCAGGGTGAGAGTACTCTGCAGTGGTTCTCCAGGGTGAGAGTACTCTGTGGTGGTTCTCCAGGGTGAGAGTACTCTGCAGTGGTTCTCCAGGGTGAGAGTACTCTGTGGTGGTTCTCCAGGGTGAGAGTACTCTGCAGTGGTTCTCCAGGGTGAGAGTAGGGTGGTTCTCCAGAGTACTCTGCAGTGGTTCTCCAGGGTGAGAGTAGAGTACTCTGCAGTGGTTCTCCAGGGTGAGAGTACTCTGCAGTGGTTCTCCAGGGTGAGAGTACTCTGCAGTGGTTCTCCAGGGTGAGAGTACTCTGCAGTGGTTCTCCAGGGTGAGAGTACTCTGTGGTGGTTCTCCAGGGTGAGAGTACTCTGCAGTGGTTCTCCAGGGTGAGAGTACTCTGCAGTGGTTCTCCAGGGAGAGAGTACTCTGTGGTGGTTCTCCAGGGTGAGAGTACTCTGTGGTGGTTCTCCAGGGTGAGAGTACTCTGCAGTGGTTCTCCAGGGTGAGAGTACTCTGCAGTGGTTCTCCAGGGTGAGAGTACTCTGTGGTCCAGGGTGAGAGTACTCTGCAGTGGTTCTGAGAGTACTCTGTTCTCCAGGGTGAGAGTACTCTGCAGTGGTTCTCCAGGGTGAGAGTACTCTGTGGTGGTTCTCCAGGGTGAGAGTACTCTGTGGTGGTTCTCCAGGGTGAGAGTACTCTGTGGTGGTTCTCCAGGGTGAGAGTACTCTGTGGTGGTTCTCCAGGGTGAGAGTACTCTGTGGTGGTTCTCCAGGGTGAGAGTACTCTGCAGTGGTTCTCCAGGGTGAGAGTACTCTGTGGTGGTTCTCCAGGGTGAGAGTACTCTGCAGTGGTTCTCCAGGGTGAGAGTACTCTGTGGTGGTTCTCCAGGGTGAGAGTACTCTGCAGTGGTTCTCCAGGGTGAGAGTACTCTGTGGTGGTTCTCCAGGGTGAGAGTACTCTGCAGTGGTTCTCCAGGGTGAGAGTACTCTGTGGTGGTTCTCCAGGGTGAGAGTACTCTGCAGTGGTTCTCCAGGGTGAGAGTACTCTGCAGTGGTGGTTCTCCAGGGTGAGAGTACTCTGCAGTGGTTCTCCACTCTGTGGTGGGGTGAGAGTACTCTGCAGTGGTTCTCCAGGGTGAGAGTACTCTGCAGTGGTTCTCCAGGGTGAGAGTACTCTGTGGTGGTTCTCCAGGGTGAGAGTACTCTGCAGTGGTTCTCCAGGGTGAGAGTACTCTGCAGTGGTTCTCCAGGGTGAGAGTACTCTGCAGTGGTTCTCCAGGGTGAGAGTACTCTGCAGTGGTTCTCCAGGGTGAGAGTACTCTGCAGTGGTTCTCCAGGGTGAGAGTACTCTGCAGTGGTTCTCCAGGGAGAGAGTACTCTGTGGTTCTGAGTACTCTGCAGTGGTTCCAGGGTGAGAGTACTCTGCAGTGGTTCTCCAGGGTGAGAGTACTCTGTTGTGGTTCTCCAGGGTGAGAGTACTCTGTGGTGGTTCTCCAGGGTGAGAGTACTCTGTGGTGGTTCTCCAGGGTGAGAGTACTCTGTGGTGGTTCTCCAGGGTGAGAGTACTCTGCAGTGGTTCTCCAGGGTGAGAGTACTCTGTGGTGGTTCTCCAGGGTGAGAGTACTCTGTGGTGGTTCTCCAGGGTGAGAGTACTCTGTGGTGGTTCTCCAGGGTGAGAGTACTCTCCAGGGTGAGAGTACTCTGCAGTGGTTCTCCAGGGTGAGAGTACTCTGTGGTGGTTCTCCAGGGTGAGAGTACTCTGCAGTGGTTCTCCAGGGTGAGAGTACTCTGTGGTGGTTCTCCTGGGTGAGAGTACTCTGCAGTGGTTCTCCAGGGTGAGAGTACTCTGAGAGTGCAGTGGTTCTCCAGGGTGAGAGTACTCTGTTCTCCAGGGTGGTTCTCCAGGGTGAGAGTACTCTGTGGTGGTTCTCCAGGGTGAGAGTACTCTGTGGTGGTTCTCCAGGGTGAGAGTACTCTGTGGTGGTTCTCCAGGGTGAGAGTACTCTGTGGTGGTTCTCCAGGGTGAGAGTACTCTGTGGTGGTTCTCCAGGGTGAGAGTACTCTGTGGTGGTTCTCCAGGGTGAGAGTACTCTGTGGTGGTTCTCCAGGGTGAGAGTACTCTGTGGTGGTTCTCCAGGGTGAGAGTACTCTGTGGTGGTTCTCCAGGGTGAGAGTACTCTGTGGTGGTTCTCCAGGGTGAGAGTACTCTGTGGTGGTTCTCCAGGGTGAGAGTACTCTGTGGTGGTTCTCCAGGGTGAGAGTACTCTGCAGTGGTTCTCCAGGGTGAGAGTACTCTGTGGTGGTTCTCCAGGGTGAGAGTACTCTGCAGTGGTTCTCCAGGGTGAGAGTACTCTGTGGTGGTTCTCCAGGGTGAGAGTACTCTGCAGTGGTTCTCCAGGGTGAGAGTACTCTGTGGTGGTTCTCCAGGGTGAGAGTACTCTGCAGTGGTTCTCCAGGGTGAGAGTACTCTGTGGTGGTTCTCCAGGGTGAGAGTACTCTGCAGTGGTTCTCCAGGGTGAGAGTACTCTGTGGTGGTTCTCCAGGGTGAGAGTACTCTGCAGTGGTTCTCCAGGGTGAGAGTACTCTGCAGTGGTTCTCCAGGGTGAGAGTACTCTGTGGTGGTTCTCCAGGGTGAGAGTACTCTGTGGTGGTTCTCCAGGGTGAGAGTACTCTCAGTGGTTCTCCAGGGTGAGAGTACTCTGCAGTGGTTCTCCAGGGTGAGAGTACTCTGTGGTGGTTCTCCAGGGTGAGAGTACTCTGTGGTGGTCCAGGGTGAGAGGTGGTGGTTCTCCAGGGTGAGAGTACTCTGTGGTGGTTCTCCAGGGTGAGAGTACTCTGCAGTGGTTCTCCAGGGTGAGAGTACTCTGTGGTGGTTCTCCAGGGTGAGAGTACTCTGTGGTGGTTCTCCAGGGTGAGAGTACTCTGTGGTGGTTCTCCAGGGTGAGAGTACTCTGTGGTGGTTCTCCAGGGTGAGAGTACTCTGTGGTGGTTCTCCTGGGTGAGAGTACTCTGCAGTGGTTCTCCAGGGTGAGAGTACTCTGTGGTGGTTCTCCAGGGTGAGAGTACTCTGTGGTGGTTCTCCAGGGTGAGAGTACTCTGTGGTGGTTCTCCAGGGTGAGAGTACTCTGTGGTGGTTCTCCAGGGTGAGAGTACTCTGTGGTGGTTCTCCAGGGTGAGAGTACTCTGTGGTGGTTCTCCAGGGTGAGAGTACTCTGCAGTGGTTCTCCAGGGTGAGAGTACTCTGTGGTGGTTCTCCAGGGTGAGAGTACTCTGTGGTGGTTCTCCAGGGTGAGAGTACTCTGTGGTGGTTCTCCAGGGTGAGAGTACTCTGTGGTGGTTCTCCGGGGTGAGAGTACTCTGGTGTGGTTCTCCAGGGTGAGAGTACTCTGCGGTGGTTCTCCAGGGTGAGAGTACTCTGTGGTGGTTCTCCAGGGTGAGAGTACTCTGTGGTGGTTCTCCAGGGTGAGAGTACTCTGTGGTGGTTCTCCAGGGTGAGAGTACTCTGTGGTGGTTCTCCAGGGTGAGAGTACTCTGCGGTGGTTCTCCAGGGTGAGAGTACTCTGTGGTGGTTCTCCAGGGTGAGAGTACTCTGCGGTGGTTCTCCAGGGTGAGAGTACTCTGTGGTGGTTCTCCAGGGTGAGAGTACTCTGCGGTGGTTCTCCAGGGTGAGAGTACTCTGTGGTGGTTCTCCAGGGTGAGAGTACTCTGTGGTGGTTCTCCAGGGTGAGAGTACTCTGTGGTGGTTCTCCAGGGTGAGAGTACTCTGCGGTGGTTCTCCAGGGGTTAGATTATTTTTCAGGTTTTAAGTGCAGTTTCGTTGTATTATCGTCTATCTTTCTTGTGTGTACTCTTATTGGTTTATATAGCGACGGCTTCTTGTGTAACATATCCGAGATCGATCCCTAATCATCGTAATGATTGTAACAAAATGATCTGCTCTCTTTATGGATTACCATCGTAACACATCTGCGAAAGCCACGATAAAGTAACACGTTGGCATTCCAGCTGAACTTTGTCGTCTAGATGAATTGTGACTGCCAAATGCTCTTCTCTTATATTTATGCCAGAGAAAGTAATTACAAATAATATTTTTGATTTGACAATGTACTGTTTAATTTCAGATCACAATGCCGTATTGTCTGCGTGAGATCATAGTGGCGGCGGTTTGTGCTGTACCCGCATTCAGTCTGGCATTGGTTGGATCAATGGAAAGTGGTGTGATGGTGGGCCAGGTGGGCGTGGATGTAGGCTTGGCTGTGGGTCAGGTGGTGGAGCACCATCTCACTGGCTGTCATCTGGTACTCATCACCACTACCCGTCACTCACTCGTCACCTCCAACATACTTAGGTGAATTTATTTAATTTATTTATTAATGTGACTATCTCGGAAATTTCGAATCCAATTACCACTAAACATAATTACCATAGTTAAGCATGTAAAAAAATTTGGATTTAAGAGCGCCTCTTAAAAAATGTGACCTCATGCAACATCACCTCATTTTTATTTATCTAAAATACTTATAATAAATAATTCTTAAACCACTAATTTGGGGACCAGAATAAATAAAAAGTGTTACCCACGACAGGACATAAATGAATTATAAGCCAGTGTGGAATAGTGGGTAAGGTACTAGATATGAGAAGGTGCATGGAGCGCCTAACTCTCTGGCCTCGAACCCTTCATCAGGATGAGTTTTCTGAAATATATATATATATATATATATATATATATATATATATATATATATATATATATATATATATATATATATATATATATATATATATTAGTATATTTTGGTAGCAGTCTTTCCTGTAGACATATATTATTAAATATGACCGAAAAAGTAAGATTAATAATTCTAACACGAATTTTCTCAATCTTTTGTACATTTCTTTTCACTGTTGGAGGTAATTCAAAAATCAATTCTCCAAAATTCATTTTTATTTCTAGTCTGACGCGACACTTGAGCGCGTTAAGTCATATTTAATTATATATATATATGTCGTACCTAGTAGCCAGAACGCACTTCTCAGCCTACTATGCAAGGCCCGATTTGCCTAATAAGCCAAGTTTTCATGAATTAATTGTTTTTCGACAACCTAACCTACCTAACCTAACCTAACCTAACCTAACCTAACCTAACTTTTTCGGCTACATAACCTAACCTAACCTATAAAGATAGGTTAGGTTAGGTTAGGTAGGGTTGGTTAGGTTCGGTCATATTTTAACGTTAATTTTAACTCCAATAAAAAGAAATTGACCTTATGCATAATGAAATGGGTAACTTTATCATTTCATAAGAAAAGAATTGGAGAAAATATATTAATTCTGGAAAACTTGGCTTATTAGACAAATCGGGCCATGCATAGTAGGCTGAAAAGTGCGTTCTGGCTACTAGGTACGACATATATATATATATATATATATATATATATATATATATATATATATATATATATATATATATATATATATATATATATATATATATTATTAAATATGACCGAAAAAGTAAGATTAATAATTCTAACACGAATTTTCTCAATCTTTCATACATTACGCTTCACTGTTGGAGGTAAATCAAAAATCACTTCTCCAAAATTCATTTTTATTTCTAGTCTGACGCGACACGGGCGCGTTTCGTAAAACCTATTACATTTTCAAAGACTTCACAAATACACAACTGATTAGAACTTACGTATCTCTGATTTTATATCTACATTTGAGTGAGGTGGGAGGGGTGATGTGGCATTAACACAAGACAGAACAAGAGGGGATATTATTAGGGTATTAAAAGTATCAACACAAGACAGAACAGAAACAATGGGTATTGAATAGAAGTGTTTGTAGAAAGCCTATTGGTCCATATTTCTTGATGCTTCTATATTGGAGCGGAGTCTTGAGGTGGGTAGAATATAGTTGTGCAATAATTGGCTGTTGATTGCTGGTGTTGACTTCTTGATGTGTAGTGCCTCGCAAACGTCAAGCCGCCTGCTATCGCTGTATCTACCGATGATTTCTGTGTTGTTTACTAGCAAGTCGACGAAGAACTCTGTAGGGTAAGGCAGGTCCTAGTCAATAACGGCTTCTCCAATGGTTTCATCGAAGACATCATAAGAAGGAAAGTGAAAAGCCATGCAACCTCTGAAGAGACAACTAACACAACACCTATACCCCCTATTAGACTATTTTACAGGAACTTCTTTTCCACAGCTCATAAAACGGAGGAAAGGGTCCTGAAAGATATTGTTAATAGAAACGTTATCCCTACAGACAAAAATCAGAGGATACAACTGACGATTTACTATAAAACCAGAAAAACGGCCAGCCTACTCATGAGAAACTCTCCAGACACAAAACAGAACGCTTTAAAAGAGACTAACGTCGTCTATGCCTTCAAATGCCCACTTGGGGACTGTAAGCTCCAAAAAACCCAGTATATAGGCAAGACAACAACATCTCTTTCTAGGCGTTTAACGATGCATAAACAACAGGGCTCCATTAAGGAACATATAATCTCTTCCCATAACCAAACCATCGCCAGAGAAATCCTAGTAAACAACACAGAAATAAGCCAAGCCACAGAAGCCAAGTTTTCATGAATTAATTGTTTTTCGACTACCTAACCTACCTAACCTAACCTAACCTAACTTTTTCGGCTACCTAACCTAACCTAACCTATAAAGATAGGTTAGGTTAAGTTAGGTAGGGTTGGTTAGGTTCGGACATATATCTACGTTAATTTTAACTCCAATAAAAAAAAATTGACCTCATACATAATTAAATGGGTAGCTTTATCATTTCATAAGAAAAAGATTTGAGAAAATATATTAATTCAGGAAAACTTGGCTTATTAGGCAAATCGGGCCTTGCATAGTAGGCCGAGAAGTGCATTCTGGCTATTAGGTACGACATATATATATATATGTATATGGCACAACTCTCCTAAACACGAGAGTTAAGTATACAACTTTAGAACACTTTCCCACCAGGAGACTCGAACCCTAGCCAGCACAGAAGCCTTCCAGCAACTGGCATAACAGGTACGCCTTAACCCTCTCCACCACCCGCTCAGACCCTTAAAAGAGATGGTAATTTCGGAGTATTTAAATACCCCAAAGATCAACACCTCCCAAGAGCACCAGAGCAAGTGAGGGGTCATTTAGACGTTAATTTCATCAAGTCCCTGTTAATATGGGAAGACACAGTGTCTCTGCTTAAGGCACAACTCTCCTAAACACGAGAGTTAAGTATACAACTTTAGAACACTTTCCCACCAGGAGACTCGAACCCTAGCCAGCACAGAAGCCTTCCAGCAACTGGCATAACAGGTACGCCTTAACCCTCTCCACCACCCGCTCAGACCCTTAAAAGAGATGGTAATTTCGGAGTATTTAAATACCCCAAAGATCAACACCTCCCAAGAGCACCAGAGCAAGTGAGGGGTCATTTAGACGTTAATTTCATCAAGTCCCTGTTAATATGGGAAGACACAGTGTCTCTGCTTAAGGCACAACTCTCCTAAACACGAGAGTTAAGTATACAACTTTAGAACACTTTCCCACCAGGAGACTCGAACCCTAGCCAGCACAGAAGCCTTCCAGCAACTGGCATAACAGGTACGCCTTAACCCTCTCCACCACCCGCTCAGACCCTTAAAAGAGATGGTAATTTCGGAGTATTTAAATACCCCAAAGATCAACACCTCCCAAGAGCACCAGAGCAAGTGAGGGGTCATTTAGACGTTAATTTCATCAAGTCCCTGTTAATATGGGAAGACACAGTGTCTCTGCTTAAGGCACAACTCTCCTAAACACGAGAGTTAAGTATACAACTTTAGAACACTTTCCCACCAGGAGACTCGAACCCTAGCCAGCACAGAAGCCTTCCAGCAACTGGCATAACAGGTACGCCTTAACCCTCTCCACCACCCGCTCAGACCCTTAAAAGAGATGGTAATTTCGGAGTATTTAAATACCCCAAAGATCAACACCTCCCAAGAGCACCAGAGCAAGTGAGGGGTCATTTAGACGTTAATTTCATCAAGTCCCTGTTAATATGGGAAGACACAGTGTCTCTGCTTAAGGCACAACTCTCCTAAACACGAGAGTTAAGTATACTTAAGTATACATATTAATATGTATATTCGGAGTAATATACATATTACTCCGAAATTACCATCTCTTTTAAGGGTCTGAGCGGGTGGTGGAGAGGGTTAAGGCGTACCTGTTATGCCAGTTGCTGGAAGGCTTCTGTGCTGGCTAGGGTTCGAGTCTCCTGGTGGGAAAGTGTTCTAAAGTTGTATACTTAACTCTCGTGTTTAGGAGAGTTGTGCCTTAAGCAGAGACACTGTGTCTTCCCATATTAACAGGGACTTGATGAAATTAACGTCTAAATGACCCCTCACTTGCTCTGGTGCTCTTGGGAGGTGTTGATCTTTGGGGTATTTAAATACTCCGAAATTACCATCTCTTTTAAGGGTCTGAGCGGGTGGTGGAGAGGGTTAAGGCGTACCTGTTATGCCAGTTGCTGGAAGGCTTCTGTGCTGGCTAGGGTTCGAGTCTCCTGGTGGGAAAGTGTTCTAAAGTTGTATACTTAACTCTCGTGTTTAGGAGAGTTGTGCCTTAAGCAGAGACACTGTGTCTTCCCATATTAACAGGGACTTGATGAAATTAACGTCTAAATGACCCCTCACTTGCTCTGGTGCTCTTGGGAGGTGTTGATCTTTGGGGTATTTAAATACTCCGAAATTACCATCTCTTTTAAGGGTCTGAGCGGGTGGTGGAGAGGGTTAAGGCGTACCTGTTATGCCAGTTGCTGGAAGGCTTCTGTGCTGGCTAGGGTTCGAGTCTCCTGGTGGGAAAGTGTTCTAAAGTTGTATACTTAACTCTCGTGTTTAGGAGAGTTGTGCCTTAAGCAGAGACACTGTGTCTTCCCATATTAACAGGGACTTGATGAAATTAACGTCTAAATGACCCCTCACTTGCTCTGGTGCTCTTGGGAGGTGTTGATCTTTGGGGTATTTAAATACTCCGAAATTACCATCTCTTTTAAGGGTCTGAGCGGGTGGTGGAGAGGGTTAAGGCGTACCTGTTATGCCAGTTGCTGGAAGGCTTCTGTGCTGGCTAGGGTTCGAGTCTCCTGGTGGGAAAGTGTTCTAAAGTTGTATACTTAACTCTCGTGTTTAGGAGAGTTGTGCCTTAAGCAGAGACACTGTGTCTTCCCATATTAACAGGGACTTGATGAAATTAACGTCTAAATGACCCCTCACTTGCTCTGGTGCTCTTGGGAGGTGTTGATCTTTGGGGTATTTAAATACTCCGAAATTACCATCTCTTTTAAGG